GGAACCCAATTGACCCGTGATATAGGAAAAGGCTATATTTTGGGGGGCTGGTGGTCCAAAATAGAGGTCATTCAGGACCTAGGTATATATAGGTGTGTATTTTAATAGGCGGACACCCTGGCCCACGGGGTAGACGGGTCTATTTCCCTTCTTCCAGGGGGACGAACTGGGAGGTGTCCCTATTTTGATTCACATATATGGACTTTTGCGTTTTGCATTTTGGGTTGTACAGGTGAAGCCTTAGCTAAATCTCTTTTTGGGTTGATTCACCCCGACAGCAAGTGACACCTTGTTTCGGCACCTCGGTGGTTCAAAGCAAAGCGGCGCCGTTGTCAACGCCCAGGCATGGCAGGAAGCTTTGGCCGAACGTCTACAGGGCAAGGTGCAGCCTTTGAAGGAGGCAGCCGAGGCTGCCAGCGCCGAGTTCGACGCCAGCGTCCAGCACGAGTGCCGGTTCCTCAGAGTCTGCAACTTTGTCTTGTGTATTTTTTGTTTGGGCATTGTGCATGTAACCTGCCAAATGAGTTTCGTTGTTGCATCGGTTTGTGATGTGTGTGTGGCCGCTCGTGCCAGCTCGGAGAACAGTAAAAGGCACCCATTCGGATGGTGGGTGTGTTTGCTGTTGGATGCGTCACCATTGAAATTCGCTGGATAGCTGGATAGCTACATGGCTAGCACTCCCTGTCATGGATAGAAGTTCGGGTTAGCCCCACATATACGAACATGTATATATTTGTGAAAAACCGTCCCATGGTCATCTTTTTGGGGAGCACTGATAGCATCTTATAGCATTTGTTTTTTGTTGAGACTTTTCAGTGGTCTGCCAGCCTGGCCAAGAAGATTTCAGCACAGGAAACGGAGCTTTTCAGCTTCGGCCCCGAATGTTGAGACACGACTCACTTGCCAAGACTCCAACTTCCCACGGGGTGCGCCACTGCTGCGGTGCGCGCGGTTCCCGAAAAGGCGCGCTGATGCTGCGGAGCGAGCAGCTGGAAAAGGCAGCGAAGAAGGCCAACAACGCCGGGGGGCCCGGCTGGATCGGCTGAACGGGATGCCGACCGTGGAGAGTACCCGACTCACATAGGTTTTGGGAGACTCACGGACTGTGAAGCCTTGTAGCGTAAGACGGTGACGATTCATTCTCTTCGTGAAGCCACCGGTTTTCAGGGTTCCTGTTAATCTGCGGGAGGGTATGAAGTTGATAAGTTGGTCTGGTGGTCCAGTGTTGGTTGGTTGAAGACTTCTTCTATATGGAAGCTGTGGTCCAGTGAGTGAGTGGTGGCTGTGGACTGCCCGTTGGTCAGTTGTCAAGTCTTTAGCGTAAAATCTTCAAGACAAACAACAACTGCCGGAATGCAGCGGATTGAGAACTGGTTTACTTGAGCGGATCCACGAGGATCCACATGGCTGGAGTTTGTTCATCCATTCTGAACGAAAGCGGTTGGACAAGCAGGAAGGGGCGAAAGACACTAGGCAGCTCCCCAGACCTTCCAGGAAAGTTCAGGAACTTCTAGGGTTCAACATGTTGTTTCAGGATATTTTCAGGAACTTCCGGGACAGATTTCTATCAATCGATTGGGGGCAAATCACTCAAAGTATGCTCCGCAGCACAGTGGACACTAAGGAGGTTGTAGGAGAATTGGAGGGCCTCAGGCATTCGTGCACCAAAAATCCATCAATTGCAAAGAAAACCATGTGCACCAAACTGAATCGTTCTTGGGACACGGATTTTTCTTATGGCTGATCTCGCATGGCCATCGCACATCCTCTGTTGCAACCACCTCCCTTGCTCGTGTTTTCGCACGAATGCGCCGGCACGGCTGAGGATTTGACCAAGGCCACCAAGAAGGCGACGCCGATCTCGGTGGTGACCGCGGTGCGGTTCAAGCCCAAGAAGGACCGGATGTTCCGAAACGCAGATGTTTTCGGTGGTGGGGAGGTATGGTCTGAAGAGGAAGATGAACCAGGATCAGGCGATGAATTTATGATACAAAAGATGTTGCAGGGTTTTCCTCATTCACAGACTCAGACCACCTGATTGGAGCATAAGATGTTGAACTGTTTTCAACAATGTTTTCTTCCTTTTTTTCCGACTTGGCTCCTTTTTTGTGGGAAGCACCAGTACTTTTCTCATTCTCATGCGCAGTCTGTGCGCGGTCTCACTCGCGGTCTCGCGGTCTCGCGCCGCCAACTGGGCCTGTTCGGCTTGCCACGGCGTTCCGACCGCGAAGTCGCGGCTCCAAACCGTGGCGTTTCGCGTTCCCTTCGGGTTCCTCGGTCTTTAGGAGAAAGCTGTGAAGTCCTGGCGCGACATCAACCAAGCAGTCCAGCTCGAGTGGGCGGTGAAGGTGGAGGAGGGAAGTGGAGCCTGAGCTGAAAGGGACGACCGGAAAGCAGCTCTGGCGGGGATTTGTTTCTCTTTGTTTTTGGGCATGGATGGTTTTGGGGGGCCTTCTGACTCATAGTAGATCGTACGTACCTCTTCTTCCCAAAACGTGGGACGCCCTTTTGAGAAGGATACAAGTCACTCTCCCACTACAGCTGGTTACTACAGCTGGTAGACATCTCTTGATGCAGCATGAATGGGTGGACCGAGATGCTACTGCTTCCTTGAACAAGATGTCCAGCAGACTGACCGTGGGACATCTTCCCAGACCTGCGTAAACAGACCGGTGGGAATGCTCTTCTTACTGGTTGGGTCGCGCTTTCTCTGCAGCCACGAACACGCGAACAAACAAAAGAGAAAGGACTAAAGCGGCATCACCAGCACTATTTCCTTTTTTGAAATGAACAAGCTGAAGCATGAGCCACCCAACTTCCGATTCATGCTTCAATTTGTGCATGTTGGATTCTAGAAAATGCTAGAAATGCAGAAGGCCAAAAGAGCATCACCAGCACCATTGCCTTTAAGGGGACGTGTACCAAAGTTGTTTCTTTGAGCTGTGGCAGGGACACTAACAACCACATGTTCGGCATGCAGTGCAACCAGATTCCTTATTCCTGTTTGTGATGTGGTGAATTGAGCGAAAGATCAAGCAAAAGGAGGGAAGAGGCTCAGCGGATGACGGAAAGGATTGGTGATGTATGGTGATGTGGCACGTGGTGCAGGTTGAAAAGGAAGGAAATCACTTATTTCACATTTGGAGTATATATATAAGCAGAACAATAATCTCTTTTTACCACCTGTCTTCTACCACAACTTCCACCACATCCCTGTCTCCCAACGAGGCCCCGACAAGGACGGCCAGCAAAGCTCACCACCGCTATTGACGCTGCCGGACTGTCGCGGCATGGCCCGGTCCGTGGTTCAATCCAGGGCACAAGGACACCACATCATCTCAGCGAAGCGCAAGGTGAACAAAAAGCTGAGCAAAGGCCGGACCCTGGCGGCTGAAAACACGATTTTTTTCTTGGTGCTTAGTAGAGAATGAGGGAATGAGCACCAAGAGAGATTCCCGGATCCAGCCACCCTCATTCCCTACGAGTCGCACCAGTCAGCTTTTTTGGAGTGTTTGGCAGAAGACCTTTGGTTCGGACACGGGTGACTCGGAGATCATGGTTTGTTCATGTAGATTTCGTGTACCTACCCGGTCAAAAACCAATGAGATGTGAAAAGACACCGTCAATAGTTGATGCTTGCTCCATCATGGCCAGTGATGGATCACTCGGTGGTTTTCGCCGGGGGCACGCTGAGAGGATCGCGCAAAGTATAGGAAGATCTTTTTTGATCCCACCAGTCAATCACTATACTCACTTTCGATGCCAGCGATGCTCAACACGACCGTTGAACGACGGAATCCTTTAGAATCCTCACCATTCTTAACCTCATTTTTGGGGGGTCCCTTCTTGGAACGAACCCGGAGTGACCCGACGGTGACCGGTGTCATCGACTCCCTGGCTTGTCTCCGCCCGCCCCTTGAAACGCCCGCTGACGGACGGCGGACTCTGCTGTGGTAGGCTCCTTGTCTGTGGGCCGACGCGTGGCCAAGAGCATCCTGAAGCGCGTGAAGGGCGATCCACCGCAGCCCCTGGCGAGCGTGGCGTTGCTGAAGGCGTTGAACACCTGCGAACCCGTGCTACATACAATAGAAACGTGTGTTGCACGCGGTCTTTGGGAGGGTCGTGGTTGGGGCCTCCACGTTCTTTTGGGAAGAAGCTCATAGAGGGATGAGGTCGGGGTGGTAACATCCGGAGATTTGGTTCTGGCCAGTTGGGGATCGAGATCGGGATTCGTGGGCGCAGGCATTTCTTCCAAGCAATTTCTTGGATGTGGTCCTTACCTTCCTTCCACCATCCCATCGGCATCCCATCCCGACCGTTGCTGAAGGGGTATCGGGCCTGGGCTGAGACGAATGGGCCTCCACCGGTCTTGATCGCCTCGCCTCGCCTCGCCTCGCCAGGCGGCGCTGGGTGGCTTGGACGAGGTGGTCTTGGATTCGAAGGTCCAGGAGTTCTTCGACAGCCCGGAGATGGGCATTATCCGTGCCAAGGACGTTCCCTTGCCCAAGAAGCCGCTTGGTTTTGGAGGATGTTGGAGGTATATGGCAGAGTGGAGTGGGATGGATGGAAGGTGGATAAAGGGTGAAACAGGTACCCCTGCTGAAACTAACATGATCCTGAAAACTACTGGTTTGTACAGGAAAACACTCTTTCAGGGTGCCATTTGACCCGGGTCCATGTTAGGTTACTTCTCTTCAGACTCTCCAAGGATTGAGCTTCTGATCATAGAAGCACTGCTCGAAGATGGGGTGAGTAGCTCCAGATCCCAACTTTGCTGCATTACCTCAATGAAGTTCCTTTTCTGACATGGTCTCGAAGCACCTACCGATTCAGATTCGAAGTAACACTACACTGGGACAAGCTCCAGCTCTCTGACCACCACCACTTGACTGACTGCGACCATGAGGCTTGAGGGACGGCTGCGGCCCTACCAGCTGACGGGGTATCATTGGCTGGTGAACAACGCGCGGAACGGCCTCGGGTGCATCTTGGCCGACGACATGGGCCTCGGCAAGACGCTGCAGTCCATCTCCTTGCACCTCGGCCGGGCAGGGAGTGGGTGTGGGGGCAGGAAAGAGATCTACTGGTGGTGTTCTAGCAGGGTGGGATAGAACACTTTTCGAACTTCTTTTGGCTTTATGGCTATGGAAGGATACAGTAAGCCTTCTCAATTTGCCTTCTCCGTTTCTGAGCGCCAGGATTCTGTACATGAAGCAGCATGGAATGTTGGATAAGCCCATGCTGGTGGTGGTCCCCAAAGGCTTGCTGACCACTTGGTCGAAGGACCGTTGCGAGCGTTTTCGAGTGTTTTCAGCCAGGGTGGCTCCATTAAGCTAAGCTCGCTAAATCCATTTAGCGATGATCTATTTGCAAGACACCAAGCAAAACGCAAAAAGTCCAAAAGTCAAAACGGTAAAGGAAACGAAAGCACGCAGCGAGACTTTTCGACTGTTCGAGACTTTTTGACTTTTCGACTTTTCGAGATTTTTGGACACCAGTCACATGCCGTGCCCTTCAACAAAAGTCCAGCAGAATTGATCCAAACGTTGCTTTTGCTCCTACAGACAGAGAGAGGATCTGGAGGTCAAAACACGCAGCCCCCATAACCTTCAAAAAGAGACGCCCGCCAAAAGGACCCGGCAAGCCCCGGGACCTTTTGGTGGGTGACTCTTTTTATCATCGCTCCCTTTTCGCGACTTTTCGACTTTTCGCAACAAGTTCGGAGAGCAATTAGATCCAGCTCACACATTTAGCAACCACAGCTCAAGGCTCAAGGTGTAAGGTTCTGATGTTATCGATCCCATCCGTCTGATACCTTTGGCAAATTTTCGCATCTTATGTATATTTTGTTAATTAATATCAACATTGATGTTGGATCGCTTTCGCATGCAGTTCGGATCTATTTCACCTTTTTCCTTCAACATCTCCAACTTCGTCTGACCCTGTTTCGACGCGCCCGTTCGCACACGCCCATTCGCGGACTCACCGGGAGGAGCTGAAGATGTGGGCGGGCGACGAGCTCAAAGTGCACACGTCGCGCGGCGGACTGAAGGACGTCCGTTTTGGGACGGCTGAGGGGCCACATGGAGACAGATGCTGGACGCCCCTGGCAGATGTGAGGAAGGAAGCACATGGAACATCATGGAACTGGGGTTGGTCGAAACCACTGGTGTCAAGTCTCAGGTTCCGCTGTTCATCTTCAAGGGGGGTAAATACAATGATGAGATGCTAAGATGGAGATGATGGCTCAGTTTGTTGCTCATCTATGCAGAGGTCCTCACGGACGAAAGGTATATCTGACATGTGCAACATGGGTGTGGGTAAAAGCTCACATATGTCCACCTACAATGGTCTTGGATTGCTATATTTTTTGATCATGACGTTTACCAGGTAGGATTAGTAGTTGTTTCAAAGGCGCTGAGGTAAGCTCCACATGCGTCCAACTGAAGCTGGTTTCCTTGAGGTACTTTGACAACAAGCGCTGTGTCCTTCCCCACATGGCGGCTCATGCGCTGGCCGCGCAGACGGCCAAAGCCAAGAGAGGACCCACCGCGACGGAGCAGAAGAGGCGGCTCATCGGCAAGCAGAGCAGCACCGTCTTTGACAAGGACTGGCTGTGGAAGCGCCATCCGCCGGTGCAAGCAGCGCAAGAACTGTCGGCTCGGTGAAGGGCGAAGGGACTTGGTCGACGACCCCTGGGGACCCTTGGGGAGGTGAGGACCGTGTCGTGATCGATGACTGGTGTGAGGACCGGTCGTTCCTTCGTGCCTTTCCTTCGCTTTATTTGCCTTCAAAGCTCCTTCCTTTGTCTTCGCTAAGACCAGAAGGTCCGAAGTCCATGGAGATTGAACAAAGACAGCGAAGAGCGAGTTCCGCATTTCCCGGAGGTCCCAGAACGTCAGAAGCGTCCGAACACGAGGATGCACTTACAACACCCCATTGGGTTGGAATATGTTGGAATACAGGAGTAGGATTCTGAACATGGACGGAAACAAGTCTTTACTAAAAGCTATCAGCTTCTTTTCTATTAGTTACTAGTTATGTTTTTTCATGTCACGGTCTCAAAGCCGCTCTGGGTCGGCAGAGGAGAAGCAGAAGCAGCAGCGCGCTGCGAAGCGCCAAGAGAAGCGCCTGCAAAAGGTGAGCTCCGCGGATGTCTTCCTCACCTCCTATGGCGTCTTCCGAGCAGATGTGGAGCGGAAAGACTTCTTCCGTGAAGCCGTGAAGCTTGATTTGTTCGAGTTCTCGGCTGTGAAGCTATTTGTCTTGGTATATCTGGTTTTTGTGCATGGCTTCCGCCAAAGAATCTCCGTCGCCGCGTCGTGTCTGTTACTGCGTGTATCTTGTTCCAAAGCAAGAAGAACGACATGTAGTGAGAAGTTTGCTAAAATCGCCTGTGGCAGGAGAAGTTGGCCTGCCCGGATGCCTTTTCAGGGATCATCCTTGATGAAGCGCAACAGATCAAGAACTACAATGCACAGATCTCCAAGGCCGTCACTTGGACTGTTTTGCATGGAGCGAGGGCTAGGCTAGCAGAGGCTTTAGCTGGCAAGGCTCATTTGGATGATCTGTTTTTTCCGGATCGCTTGGGCTGGAGAAAGGCTTCTTGTTCCAAGGTATGGCAGAGAAATCTTCCAATTCAATTGCAGGGAATATATTGTGATATGATCCATGATCCTCCACTCGGATGGGTTTAAGGTATAACATGTTCGTTTAATTTGTTCCTTGGACAGCAACGGATCGAAACAGGCCTGGCAGAGAGTGGCCTGAAGGACTCGGTGTTCTCTTTCGGACAACGGATACACCGAGGCAGGTGCTACCTCCCTCGGTTGGACACCGTCCTTCATGGAAGACCCTGGTGGGGGGTCCAACACTTGGGGTCTCTTCCGTGCTTTGCCTCTTTCATGTCTTAGACATGGATGGATTCCTGCGAGGTTCCTTTTCTTCACTATATTTTCCTCCTAAAGGAGACTGGTGCAGAGTGCAGGGGGTGCGTGGAACCGAGACCCACCACGTCCCCCTTGCGCTCCGCGCTGCGCCGTCGCGCCGAGGTGAAGCAGGTGGCGGAGCTGGTGGGCCCTGTGCGGATCGCGCTGAGCGGGACGCCGGTGGAGAACCGCCTGGCGGACTTGCACAGCCAGTTCGAGCGACTTAGCGCTTGGGAGAACGGTCCATGGGAGGTTCCGGTGGTGGGACGTCCTTCCGGTGGTGGGAGAGGTGGTGGGAGAATCATGGAACATCCGGTGGGTGAGGTGGGGAGCTATACCTAGGATCTAGAATCTTTTTGGTGAGCTGAGATGAATGCTGCAAAAATCCAAGAGTGGAGTTCCAGACACTGGCATCATTGGTCAGCCAAGCTTGTTAGCACGCAGGTTAGGCACAACCTTTTCGGTGTGAGCAGGTCAGGCCCCAGGCACAGGCTTCTTGGCCTCCGCGCCGGGCTCCACGAGGTTCATCTTGCCGGGCTACTTGGCCTCCTCGCGGAAGGAGTTCGAGCAGAACTTCGGAAAGCCCATCGCCCAAGCCGCGCGAGGCAGGGCGGGCGACGAGCGGCGCACGTGGATGGTGCGGATGGTTTCGTTCGTTGTGCATGATGGATCAGGCATCGAACTCCAACCGGGCAACGCAGCAACTCCAACTCCAAGCTTGATGTTCGGAATGGTCCGCACTCTCAATCCGCACGAATATCCCTAATTACAGTACATCAGCCTGGCAGACCGATGAAGACGGGGAGATCCCGAACACCACGCCGGAACCGTTCCACTGCCCTTCCCTCTCCGGAACCGGCAAAAAGGCGTGGAGAACCCGGACTTCTTGCGGCAGCAGCGGCTGCTGCAGCGGATCGTGCGGCCCTTCATCCTGCGGAGACTGAAGACGGATCCGGAGATTTGCAAGGATTTGCCGGAGAAGATCGAGCAGGAGAGTAGATGAATATAGATGAGTATAGATGAGTACATATGAGTATAGATGAGTATTATGAGTGAAATTAGGGGGTTCGAGCAGGAGACCGAGTAGATGAGTGGATGAGTATAGATGAGTATAGATGAGTATATATGAGTATTATGGGAGGGGGGTGATGGGGTGATATGGATCTGTTAACAGGGTTGGTTGGGATGAAGAAGTGGATGAAGGTGGGCGTGGGTGGATGGATAGTTTTGTCTAATCCTATGCTTGGTGCCTTACTAAATACACTTGGAGTGATCTTCATGATGTGTTAGCCTCTGGCTGCAAGGTAGATGTGGATCATACAGACAGACACCAATAAATTGTTGGCTGGCACCTCTTTCTTATACCTCGGAGGAGAAGGACTTTCTGCTAAATCTCCCTCCACCACTCTGCCAAAGGACCATGAGTGTGAACTCAGCGAAAGTCAGCAGAAGCTCTATAAGGCCGCGCAAGAGGCCTTCCAGCAGCTCCCATCGCGGGATGACAAGTTCGCTCGGCACAACCACATCTTCTCGATGCTGCAGGCGGTCTGTGTTTGGCTTTTCTTTCGTGTGAGGTGCTGAGGTGGAGAGAGATAGAGATTTTCTAGGGGCTACCTCTGGACCACACCTTGGCTTAACTACCTGGTTCCTCTCCAGACTGCGGAGCACTGCCTTTTGGGGCATGTGCTGACAATTGTCAGAGGCAACAGGATCGACGTTGGGCGCAGTTCGGGCCAAATGAGGCAACCATCTGGGCCGATCCCCTCCTCTTCTGGGGGTTCAAACAAGTCAGCAGTCTTTGATTGGTTTCTTCATGTCACTTTCTTCCCGGGTCCCACTTCCCAAACCAACATCAGAGCCCCCCCTGCTTCTCCGCTCTCTCCCCACCTGGCCAGCCAGGCGCTCCGTGAGATTTGCAACCACCCCTTCTGCCTGGCGGAGAACCGCCGGCCTCAGGGCTTTGGCAAGGAGGACATCCCGAACAGCAGCACATTATCGGCCAGCGGCAAATGCACCAAACTCGAGGAGTTCCCGGTGGAATGGGACGGCTGGACCTGTCAGTCTGGGCGTGGAAGATGTGGGAGAGAACGGATGGATGATTCTGAGGTGTGACATATTCCGTTGATCTTTCTGGAGGGGCATGTTTCTCTTCCGGCGAAGAATTGAGTGCTCAGAAAAGTGGAAATGTATGGACATGTAGAGGCTCCTGGCATTGCGGAGAGGAAGTGCTCCTTCTCTCATCAACATAGACTCAGACTATGTAGTCCTGATTCAAAGGGAGGAAGCCTTTGTGGTCACTACTGTAGCCCAAAGGTACCGCACATCTTGTCAAAGGAAGTTTAGTGTGCAAAACTTCCGTGTTACGGACATTCAACAGCTGTTCAACCACCACTCAT